AACTACATTTTATCTATTTAAAATACAATTTACAAATTTTTAAATTAAAATATGAATTAAATGAAAATAAAACTTCATGCGTCGGCGTCTGCCAAACGAACATAATAAATCATCTTCGTACGTCTGCGTCTGCGTCTGCGTCAATGTCCTGCGTCTCTTAAACGAACAAAATTCTGCGTCTACGGCTGCGTCTGCGGCTGCGGCTGCGTCTGCGAAACGAACAACACATAAATCAACAGACGCAGCCGCAGCCGCAGACTCAGCCGCAGCCGCAGACGCAGAAACCTGCGGCAACCAAACGAACAGGGCTATTGTGTAGGTTAGAAAAACCCTATTTTTTAATTTGCTTCAAACGTTTCTAACCAGCCCCTCTCTCTCCTTCTCCTTGTCTCAAAACCACAGCAAGCTTCATAAACTCTCAAAAAGATTCTGAGTTGATCTCAAAGTGGAAGTCTTTCCATAACATGGATATACTTAGGTAACATATCAATCGTAAAGTGTCTCGAGGGCATGTTGAGTTGATAAAGAGTTATTGTTTTTTTAAAAAAATCTTTATCGGTTTTTGCAGAATGGTAAGTTCAGTTTCATGGATACCTAAAGGAGCAGCAAAAGTCATGCTTGATGCTGCTGAACCTCCTTCTATGGAGAAGATCCAACAACTCATAAACAATGGCACTCTCAACAAAAGGTACAGTCTAATCTTGTTTTGAGGTGAAAACTACGTACCTAATTATTTATTTATTTATTTACATGTAACAGTACTCTGAGTGATATGGATGAAGAAGAAGGGATGGAGGATGCTCAAGTTACTCATGCCAAGGCTGTAGCAAAATCTTTAGGAACATCATCATGTTCCAAAAGCAACGTTGCTTCCTCCTCTTCTTCAACTGATCCTGATGAGCTAGTCAAGTTCATGAAAGAGCTCGACATGGATAACTATGATGAAGAGGATGATGGTATATATATTTTGTTTTATTTCCCTTCTCCTATATATAGTCTTTTTCATCATACATCCTCCATGTTCATTGACACCTCACTCATTCCTCAGAGATTGATGTGTTTAGCTCTGGCCGTGGAGACCTTTATTATTCAAGCAATGACATGGATCCATATCTGAACCATAACACTGATGTACGTAATAAGCCATATTTATTATATAGTTTTTTTTTTCCTTTTAGAAACTAAATAAAAATACTGATGGTTTGAGAGTGTGTGTGGTTGAATCACATATATAGGATGATTACTATGATTCAGAAGATGTCGATGCTATAACAATCAAGCCAACAGATTCACTGATCATCTGCGCTAGGGTTGAGCATAATGTCAACTATCTTGAGGTTTATAATTACGAGGAAACTGGGGATGGCACTCAGAACATATATTGTCGTCAAGAGATAATACTATCTATGCCTCCACTGTGTACAGCATGGCTTGATTGTCCTCTCAAAGGAGGTGATGATATTAAAGGTTAGTTGTGCATGTGTCTATCCTATAAGTGACATTTTTCCTAAATATATATATTTATAAAGTTTTCTCAAGTTTTGCATTCCTGTTTGAAAACAGGGAACTTTGTAGCTATCGGGTCAATTGGATCACCGACCATAGAGATATGGGATCTTGACGTTGTATGTAAATGTAGCTGTCTTTTTGATCTTTTAATTTATATCAGTCATGATGAGATAAATGATTTTTTTTATAATGCGTTTCAGGCTGATGAGGTGATACCTTGTGTACAACTAGGAGCCGCGGAGGTGTGACAAACCATCTTTGTAGCCTTTCTTCTTAACTGATTTCCAGTTTTATCCATTAACTTAGTTTTGTGTTTGATTCTCTTAATATAGACATCAGATTGCAATACTGATCAATCAGTAATTGATCTAGCTTGGAACAAGGAGTTTAGGTATGTTTTTTTTAAAGCTCTATCTGATTCCATGCATGATCACTCTTTATACGTGTGTGGTTCTAATTTTGACTTTACGCCGAACAATAGGAATATAATTGCTAGTGCCAGTGCCGACAGAAAAGTTAAGGTTTGGGATGTGGCTACAAGACAATGCAAGCTCACTCTGGAGCATCACACAGAAGAGGTATATATGTATGTGAATAATGCTTCCCTAATCTAGTGGCATTAATGCTCATCGTCTGTTGTGTTGGTGGTTAACAGGTTAAAGTGGTCGAATGGAACCACTATGCTCCACAAGTACTCCTCAGTGGCTCATATGACTGTACTGTAGTCTTGGTGATTGTTCTGTTCCATTTGTTTTATTCATGCCATGTGTTGACTTGGGTCTTGTACTTAAACAACTTATCATTATGTTGTTGTAGAAAGATGGAAGGGACCCTTGTCATTCAGGTTTGAAATGGACTACTAATGCCAAAGTCGAAAGCTTGGCCTGGGATCCTCATAGCGAACACTCCTTTGTGGTGCGTTACACTTTCCTTTGTTCTTCTAACTATAGACATCTCTGAGTCATCGTTTTTTTTTTTTTTTTGCTTACATCTTAGGTGAGTCTCAAAGATGGAACTGTGAAGGGTTTTGATATACGTGCTTCTGATTTATCACCAAGTTTCAACCTCGATGCTCATGAGGACGAAGTGTCCTCCATCTCATACAACACATATGCGCAAAATGTACATGCATTTTATATCTCTTGTGTTGTAATAGTTGTTGTGTGTGTTTGGCATTTAAGTTATTCCCCGAGTTGTTGTGCAGCTTTTGGCTACGGGATCTGAGGATGGAAGTGTGAAACTTTGGGATCTTTCAAACAATCAACCAGCATTTATTGCTAAACACAATCCAAACGCTGTAAGAGCCATGACTGTAGTAATTACTCCATGCACCTGTTTCTTTTTCTGGTTTCTGTGCTCACCAATTAAAAACTTTGATGTGCAATGCAAACAGGGAGAAGTTTTTGCAGTCTCATTCTCTGCGGACTGCCCCTTCTTACTCGCTATTGGTTGCAGAGAAGGGAAGCTAAACGTGAGTATATATAGTTGACTGATTCAAATAAAGTGAATAAATTGTTTTCTATGAAGCAAAATTAAGGAACTAACGTATATTTATCCTTGT